CCCGATCACATTTTAAATGCTCTTCTTAAGAATGTTGTTGTTGTGTGCTATGAAATAGGACTGATCCACAGCTTACACTTCAGGTTTTCAGAGGCAGTAAATTACATGGCAGATTGTCCATTTTTCTCCCATTGAGCAGCTGGTGGACACAAACCATGTGTCTTTGGGTTGGTAGCACAGCTGCTTATTCACTAGGCCCCCACTGAGGTGGAACAGTAGGGAGGAAAGTATTACCAGTCTTAAGCAATTAAAAAAATACACTATAAATAATAACTTAATGACATATTAACACTTCCCTATTATTAATACAAATTTAAGCAAATGAGATTAAATAAGCAGCTATGTGTCATACATTCCACTCTGTATAGCACTATCTGTTAGCTAAAAGAGAGTCAACTCCAACTCACAGGTCACTATGAACAAATCAAAATCTTGCCCTATCCTATCCCAGCCTCACTATCTCTGCCAGGCTCAGTCCACTTTGTTAGTTCTTCCTCCTTCACTGACCCTCTATTTTTCCTAGCATGATGTCTTTTCCTAAGGATGGGCCCCACCTTACAACATGTCCAGTAACACCATCTACTGTATTTGTTATCTGTACTCTGAGCCAAAAAATTTGAGAGGCTGGACTAAATGAAGACAAATGTGACCTCAGGATTGGAGGAAGACTCAACAACATGCATTATATAAATGACAAAATCTTGCTTGCAGAAAGTAAAGAGGACTTGAAGTATTTGCTGCATTAAATCAAAGACTACAGCTTTCAATACGGATTATTCGACCACTATTAGAGATCAAGAAACAAAAATTCTCACTACTCAACCACTAAACAGCATCATGATAAATGGAGAACTGAAATTGTCAATGATTTTTACTTTGATCCACAATCAACACCAATGATAGCAGCAGTCAAGAAGCTCTCTAAACTGTTAAAGATGTTAAACTAACATCTTTAAACTAAAGACAAAGGTGCTCCTGATCCATAACATGGTAATTTCAGTTGCTTCCTATGCCATCTGAAAGTTAGGGCAATTAGTAAGAGGACCAAAGAACCAATGCCTTTGAACTACGGTGCTAGGGAACAGTACTGAACATCCTATCACCTGCCAGAATAACAAACAAGTCTGTTTTGAGAAAGTACAACTACAATGCTCCTTAGAGGCATAGATGATGAAAATTTGTCTCATATACTTTGGGCATATTGTCAGAAGGGGCCAGTCCTTGAAAAAAAGACATCATGCTGGGAAAGGTGAAGGGTCAGAAAAAGATTTCCAACAAAATGGAGCAACACAGTGACTGTAACAAGGGGCTCGAACATATCTGTGCACCAAAGGTCTCTAGAATCTGTTTAATCTGAGTCACCCTAATTCTCACTACTCTTCTATTTTGCTTGAGTTGAGAACGGCTGGATCAGAAAAACGCTGCCGAAGAGTACGACCCATTTCCACCAAGCCAATTACGACTCAGTGATCCCACACAGCTGAGTAGAAATGCTCCACAGGGTTTTCATGGTTGTATTCTTTACAGCAGAATACTGGGTTTCTCCTCAATGAAAAAAAGCCTACTGTGCAGGCTTTAACTACCAGCCTTTATGTTACAACTACAAACCTCTTGCTCTAAACAAGGGCCTTAAAGCACATTACATTTGACTCATTATATGCTATTTGAAAGGCTATCTATATGAGATCATTGACTTAGTTCACTTTGTCTACAAATATTACTGCAGAAACCATTCCAAGTCATTTTACATACATCTACACAATAAATCTAGAAGGTGAAGCCAGGTGCTCCTTGGAGACAAGGATGGGGAAGATCCGTCTCGCATACTTTGGGTAAGTTGCTAAGAAAGGCTATTCCTTGGAGGACATCATGCTTGACAGGTGGAGGGATGGCAAAAGAAAGGAAGACCTACAACCAGGTGGACTGACACAGTAATTGCAGCAATGGGCTCAAGTGTGTCAGAGATCATGAGGTTGGCACAAGATAGGATAGCATTCAGATCTATTTTACACAGGGTCACTTGATTTGTACTTGACTCGACGACAGCTAACAACAACAGATAGTAACTCACGAAATCTCATGCTATGTTCTTAGAAAAATAAATCAGACTAAGAAACAAAAGGAAAACCAGTGGCACAATAATTAAGTACTTGCTGACTAACCAGAAGGTCAACTTTTGAAACCACCATGCACTTTGTGTGTTCTACTCAGCCCTACAGATGTCCTTTAAGTTAGAATGGACTCAATGGCAATTAGTTTTAGGTAACAAAACAGTACGTAAGACATAAAACACAAAGTATATGTCTTTGCTTAGGAAATTACTAATACATTCTGGTAGAAAGACATTAAATGGCAACTAGAGTGTAATATATACTGACTTTATTACCTTAATAAAGCATTTTAAATTCTTTTCCATGATGTTTTTAATGTTTAAAACACATCTGAAGTTTTTCTATATTATTTATAGTCAAGGTTATTATCTGAATGGAACTTTAAGCAACTATTACAGGATTATCTCCACGTAGAATTAACTTTTCTTCTCTTCTGAGTCTTGTGCCAGTTTTAACTTCTCTTTTAATGCTTGCTGATCTCTGGAATACTGCTCAAATATTGGTTGGTAAATATACACTCCTCCAGCGATTCCAAGGATGCTAGCAAAGACCATCTGTGGAAGAGTTAACCTTCCAAACATTGCTTCAACAAATGCAGCACAACAGAGGGTGTTTTTAAAAGACTACACTCCCAGATCCAGGAAATCTCTTCAGACCTACATACAAAGAAAAAAAGAGGAAGTAATAATTTAGTACAACATCCTTTCATGATTTCATGTCACTGCTCTGCTCTGGAGTTAAGATGTATGTAAACATAATTTTTCTCATTTAAGATATTAATAGCATGGAAAAATTAAGAGAAAGTAAAATTCCAACTCATTCACAGAGACCCTCCACTGGGATTCTGAAGCTATAAATCTTTGCAAGAAGAAACTGTTCATCTTTCTCTCAGAGCAACTGCCAGATTCAAACTAATGACTAATGAATGGTCTAGCAGGTCAAGCTATGCCACCAGAGCGTTTAAATAGAAGATTCTAAATTAATAACAAGAAAGCATATTTTTTATACCTTTCAAGGCATGATGTTAATCCCCACAGATTGTCTCTGGGGATCAGAGCCAGCAGTAAAAGAAAGATATACAACTATTACTTTTCAGTATTTGCCCTTCTGGATTTCATTTTTTCAATTCATATATAAGATAAAAGAAATAATTTTAAAAGCTGCACTGGAAAAGGTGTTAGACTCATGGTAACCCCATGTGTTAACAGAATAAAACTGCTCCACAGGGTTTTCTGGGAGGGAAGCAGGCGTGGCATCCACTTCCTAAACAACATGCCTCTGGAAACTCCCTGAGCTTTGATAAATGCCATCCTCACCTAAGAGCACTTTTCTCACTTCTTCCCTGTGGTATGATTTTCCACTCACCTTTCTCTCACATCTTTTCCTGCCTCCTGAGCTTTATCCCTATGAGACTGCTTCTCTTGCCTCCCGAAGTTGTAGAAAGGCTTCAGGCCTTTTGCTCATAGGGTCATTGTGAGTCGTGCTCAACTAGGCAGCAATCAACAACTATCTTTAGGAAGCAGCAGGCAGTCTTTCCTTCTGTGAAGCCAATGGCTGAGCTTTAACTGCCTACCTCTAGGTTAACAGCCTACTGAAAACTGTTTGTTCCATTCAATATGATAGACCCAATCTTATTTCTAAATGATAAGCTGAAAGGTGGATAAAACCTCTCTAGAGGTAACACAGAAGACCTAAATATAACCTAGCATACTTTGTTTCCTAATGTTGTCTGTTACAAAGGCCAAACGAAGTCGAAAACGAACTTAATGGCACAACAACAGATTTTATGTTCCTTCTCTTTGACACTTTAGTTAAAAAAGAACTCACACGCCATTCATTTTTACTGAAATACAATAAAGATCTGGGTGATTTTGCTTTTAACAATTGGCTTAACACTTGAGGAAGTAATTAATAACCTTTGCAAAGACTGTAGTTTCTGAGAAACTAGATGTTTATAAATGAAGACAGGTGAGTGAAGATCCCCATGTTTTCTTCGTTATAGCATTATCTAAGTTGGTTTTTATTATAACAATGGGCTGTGTCCCTTTCCAGACTCCAAAACAAACAAACAAAAAAACGCCCCACAAACTACTGATGGCGGACCCTATATGAAAAATGGTGCGTATTTAATATTCTATAGTGCAACTGAAAATAAAAATGGGAATGGAAAGTCCATTTTCTCTTTGTGCCTACTGTTGATTAGGTATGTTAACCACTCCTCCTTTAATGCACACTAAAGTGTAATAAAAGCCAGGGTATCATCTGAAAGCCAGCTCTCTGGAAAACAGATTAAACCACACTGGAAGAGGAAGGTTTCTGTCGGTAACTGGTTTGCTCAAAGATCTTGACCATTGATAATTTACTCTTTCTGCATTTCGATTTCCACTTCTGTACAATGGACTAAATTTTCCGTGTTCCACGACTATTTACTGTGCTAACAGTGTAATGTCAGACAAACGATTACTGGGCTTACAGGTATCATTATTAGCTTATGTACCAAAAATGTACTTCTGACCTTTCAGCTCCCGCGTGGTGTAGTCAAATCTCGCCAGTCCTGCTGAGACTGGCTTCCTTTCAACAAAGTTTCTGGAACACAAAACCAAAGGTGAGCAACAAATCTTACGGGAAAGAAATGCCGAAGGGAAAGTACAAATAAATCTGTAGCGAAAGGAGGCGGAAAGGACCAGAAATATCACACGCAAATTCCACCTGGACGACTGAAGGAAAGACGAGAAGGAAATGAGTCTTTCCCAGCTATCTCCGCGCCTGCAAACGACGGTTCCTGCCACAGGCCAAACTTAGCAGGCGGAAGAGCAACGCGGGATATCTCAGTATTTCAGTCCGGATTAAAGTGGTGTTCCGGGAGCTGCATGCAGTGGGTCGCTGAGCAGGTGCAAGATGGAGCGGGATCGCGGCGACAGCAGCAGCCTCTTCTTCCGCGGTCTCCAGAATCGATCCCAAGAAAAAGTGAAGCTTCGAAAGAGAAAATCAACATTGTATCTCAGTGACCAGGAGGCAAGCGCCCATAGGCGATGGGGTGAGTGAGGGGTTGCGGATTGCAGCCCTAAGGGCATTAGCGGGAATCCACAGAGTTTGCTCGAGGGCTCCATCTGCTGGGTGGGTTTGCCAAGAAATCGCTCGTGGTGCTTCTCGATCTCTTTAGCTTGCGAGGCTGGCAATTTGCGTTGTTTTATCTCATCCCCAGTGGTCCTTTGAAATGAGTAGGAGTGGTTTGATGATTCCCATTTTAGAGATGGGCACCAAAGCTAGACTTACATTAAATTATCGAGACCTGCAATGGGACCAGATCTGACTACAGTGCATTACTTTTCCCACCGCTCCGGTTCCTTCTCTTTAGTCCTGACGTGATGTTGACTAGAGAAAAATTATCCCAGGAAATGAGATGTTGATCTGTCAGGGAGTTTATTTAATATAAAGATGGACTTGTCAGTCAGTCAGTAAATATATATTAAGCTCCAAGGCATGGTAGAGACAGTTTGATAACAGTGCTAAGTATCTCCTTGGGAGATATTTGAGCCCCAAAACTCAAGTGGTCATTTTGTTAAATGAAAAAGGGGTGGCGGAAAGGTGATAGTGATAAGGTAGGCAGTTGGACCCTAGCTCACTTTTTTTCTTTCTCTAAGCTCAGTAGAAGTTAGGTCCTATCAGGAAAAGCATAGTAAGAAAGTATGCTTGACGGAGAAGCGCAGTTGAATTTTTTTGGTCGTCCAGCTTTATCACAGAGCACCAGTAGTTTGTGAACCAATCCAGTGACTCTGCAGAAGACAGGAAGACAAGCAAGCTGCCTCCTAAAACTTACGTCCAAGAGAACCCTATGGAACATTTCTATTCTCTAACACATGGGGTTGCCATTAATCCTTATCACTTATGGAAATGAGGTTTTAAAAAAATATATTTTTTTAAAAAAATCATGCACCTAGTTGGTAGAGAATTGTGTTGCTGACCCAAAGGCAGAACCTCTCTGGTAGTTCGAATCCACCAGCGGCTCCCCAGGAGAAAGATAAACAAACCCCTTCTGTGCTCTTTATCACCTCATAAGCCTGTTGGAGGGTCAGCTATGAGCTGGTTCAGACTGAAGGGCAATAAGTTGAGTTGATGAAGCTGGAGCTGTGGTGGAGTAATCCACTGAGAGGTACACTGTTAACTCTTAAGGCCACGCCCTCTGGCATTTCAAATCCATCAGTGGCCCCAAGGGAGAAAGATATGCTATCTACTCACATGCAGTTTACATCCCCAGAACCCCCCTGGAAGGTCAACTGTGTGGCAGTTCTGACTGTACCAAAGTGCGTTTGAGGTTTTTTGAGAAGGTGAAATTTCATACAGAGACCTGTGTGTGGTGGTCAGTATTCTAGTCTGTAAAATATGTTCATACAAAATAAGAAAGGAGAGTAGTAGGGATCCATAGTGAGAGCAAAGACTAACAGATCAGAGGCAGGTTGCAAACTCAATTGCTTAGGCAGTTTGATGGGCAAAGTAGATAAGTGAAAATAGCTAAGAACTTCTTCCCCATATAAAGCAGCAGCCTCTATTTCAATACTAGTCAGATTTTTTCCAGTTGAGCTCTCTCCTGCAAAACATCGCACAGCTTTGAAGTGCTGGAAATTCAGATTTTAATATAAAATCTCATTTCTAAATGTTGTGAAATTAAATAAATTTTTATTTTAATTACACTATATTCTGAACCTACAAGGTTCAGAACTATTGTTCATAGGGTCGCTATGAGTCGTGATTGACTTGATGGCACATAAAAACAGCAGCAGTGGCCTAAACCCTAAGAACTTGCAATGCTAATCCAAAGGCTGTGTACTGCTGACTGAATCCTCCAGCGTCTCTGCAGAAAAATGAGGAGGCAGTCTCCCTGTGATTTACAGCCTCAGAAATCCGATGAGGTTTACTATGAGCTAGAACTTACTAGATGGCATTGAGTTTTAAGAAGCAACTTTTGATTAGTTAGCTAGTTTATTTAAGATACATGGGTAGTATAATCTAAGGCCTTAGGTAATCCAATCCCTTTCAATATTTATCTTAATACTCTCTTTATGTATAAGTTACATGAAAGGTTGCTTAAACAGGAAGATGTAAAAAAAGAGTGCAACTAGTGTGGAGACAGCCAAGACTGTCCTCCACTAACGTCACAAGCGGCAACTCTCCCCATCAATACCACCTACCATATAAACCCTTTCCACGAGGTCATACACTCCTACTTCCACCAGTTCTAACACCAACTCTCCCAAGGCTCACTGCTCTGCTACTGAGTCCAAAAATTCTTTGCAGTGGCCACACAGAACTCAAACCATACTCATGATTATGAAATTTATTAGGCAAGTTAATGGGTTACAATTCAGATTGGCAACAGAATAATACAGTTTCTAGCTTATCAAGCTTGCTCCCAAGCCCTTTAATCTTCAACTTCACAGCTTTAAGTTAGTGTTCCAAAACCCTCACAGTCCTGCCAAATGTGGTGTGTGTCCCCTTTTCCCCTTCAGCAAGTTTGGGCAAAGTGTTGTGGCTTTGGTTCCATAGGAGAGCAGTCCCAAGTCAGCTCCGTTGCAGGCTGGTTTCTGGTTCTCAGCTGTTGTTGCTTCTACTGTCTCATCTAGGTCTCAGTATGAGAGGTGTGAAATCTCTGGCCCCTGTATGCATCAAATTCTCTTGTTTCTCTGCTAGTACGGAGATTCTCTTCTTCCATTGCTAAACTGGTTCCGTGTAAACCTGGTGGGATGGCAAAACTGACCAATCCTCTTAGTAGTCATTTACCCACCTTGGTTTGCATACTCTGTTCCAGCTATGTGGTGGAAAGCAAAGCAAATAAGCTAGAAAAGCCATTTTGCCTACCCTCACCATACGGGGTTCACTAGTGTTGAGGTTGTAGAACTTTCAGCCTGGATCTGAGAATGCTGTGGTAGGGCTGGATTCACTACCATGCCCTAAAATGATTGAGGGGCCAACTGGAGCAATTTCATTTAAGCTCAGACAAGTAGGTAGGTTTCAGAACTTGTTAGACTTTTTATACCACAATTTCCTATTTTGATTTTGTTTCTTTGTTTTCATTTCAGATCTGCTTGGTGAAAGCATTTATCTGGTCTTGTTTACTGTAGCTCTCAGAATACTGAACTGCTTTTTAGTTCAGACAAGTTTTGTTCCAGATGAATACTGGCAGTCTCTTGAAGTTGCACATCACATGGTCTTCAAATATCCTTTGTAGTTTATTTTCTAAGCTAGTAATGTATATTTGCCTTCAGAATGTTCTGTGTCTATTCTATGACATACTGTCAATTTTCCATATTTTTTCCAAATATGTTTTACTCAAAGAGTTACTTTATGATAACTTTCAATTACTTTCTCATGTCAGTATATTCACTTCATCCTTTAGTTAACATATATTAATCTCCACAATGCTTAATGCTTTGGGGGCTACAGATGAAGTAAACAACATATTCCTGTCTTGAAGAACTTTGAGTTTTATTGGACAACTGAAGTTTTAATTCAAACATCCAGTATAAAATGCCTAGGTGTTATAAAGCTTCATTGTCAAGAAAGAAAATATTTTATACACATAAAGAAAAAAAGTGTTGAGTCAATATTATCTGAAATTTCATTCTTAATAATACTAATTATGGGTATTTGACCTGGGAATGGACAGAACGATTGAGGGGCTACACTTACCCCTTAATCTTTGCAAGCATTTATAAGATTCTACACCTTTTGGGAAAAGATAGTGTTCAGCTGCTGGTAAGTTTAAATAAAAATAATTAAAATCACTCTTACAAGTTCATTTATTCATTTCCCAGTGGAGAATTTAAAAAAAAGTTCATTCATTCCATCCTTTTTTGAAGATACATGATGTGTTTGGTACCTCGAAATTTGTTTTGAAAAGGCTGTGTCTAAGTCTATGTCTGTAACCATATCTGAGATGATCATGGTTCTAAAGGCATGGTTCTAAAACCAGAGATCAGCATGAGAGTGCTTAAGGAATCTCATTAAGTTATACAGATTTTAAGAGGGACTACATTTTACATTACTGATGTAAATTTTAGGCATTTACTGCCTTTATAAAGAAAGCAGGATTCTTAACTTGTCAGTGGTTATATGGCATATGGTCTTGTATAAATACATATAAACTCACTTAAGATTTTATATGACAATGAATTTGACAAAAAATGTAGTAACATGCATAATCACTATACTTCCTTTAATATGATATGTATAATCTTTATGGCATATTGTCTGAAGGTGCCAGTCCTTGGGGAAAAAATGCCTCATGCTTGGAAAACAGAAGGTCAGTGAAGGAGAGGAAAACCACCAATGAAATGAATTGACATAGTTACTGCAACAGTAAACTTAATCTTGCAGGGAATGAGGACAGCACAAGATATTTCAAGGTTTTGATCTGCTGTTCATAGTGTTGCTGTGAGTCTTAGTTGACTCAAGGACACCTAACAAAAACAATCATTTTGATATGTAGTAACTGAAGTCTCCAAGTGGTATAGATTGTGGTGCACTTGACTGCCAGCCAAAAGATTGACAGTCTGTAGTCCTCCCAGAGTTGCCTCAGAAGACAGGCCTATGGATTTGCTTCCAAAAGGTCATGTCATTGAAAAACTATATACAGCAGTTCTACTACACACACAGAGTTACCATGAGTCCGAATTAACCCAACAGTTTTAATTCCTGCATATGCATTTCTGAGATCAGTTGCTGGAAGATAGGATGAACTGATGTAGAAGTTTCTGTAACCTCGTTCTAGATTGTCTAGGCCATCATCAAGATAGGGAGTTCTGGTGGTGTAGTCCTTGGGAGTTGCACAGTTAACCCAAAGGCAGTGCCTCTCTGGTGGTTCAAATCTACCAACAGCTCTATGGGGAAAAGATAGGCAGTCTCCTCCCATGTGAGCCAGCAATTTCTGAGATTAATATGTTCTCTCTCTCTCTCTCTCTCTCTCTCTCTCTCTCTTTTTTTTAATTATTGAAGATTTGGGTTCCTAGACTTGCTCAAGCTCTTCTGTCAGCCATAGCAGATGTGAGGCTATTTTCATTAATGAAGCAACTAGAAAATCAGGAAATAGCCAAATGGGTGGTAAGTTCCATACGTTTTGAAATTGTATGCCAGTTAGTTTATTCATTTGGGTATAAAGCACACAGAAGATATCAATTTCCCAAGGCAGTTTCAGAAAATTATTAAGGCAACTTTACAGAAGTACTTTCATAATTAAGAACTATAAAATGTAAACACCATATGCCCTATTTTTCCTCATTGAGTTCTTGGTAGTGAAAGCCACTAATGCCCTCAAATTTACTAAACCCTAGGAGATAGTCGTTGAAAGTTCACTCCTCAAAACTGTCACAGTTTTTGCCTTACTTTTTATAACATTCACTAGGAACCCTACTGACTTGCTGCCTACCTCATAAAGTACCTTGATTTTTACAGCCACTGTTTAACTGGTTAGGGAGCATGAAAGAGTCTGCTTCCAATTTTTTGATTGACTATTACTTTCATTACTTGAGCCTCAGCCAGAAATATCTGTGTTCTCTGATAACAGCTTTCCACTTCTGGATAGGATGTCTGAAATAACTCGACTCACGTAATGGATAGAATGTAATATCAAAGGCCATTTGTCTTATTTTAAGATGGAGGGAGAGATTTCTAACATTGTGAGTTCATAGTTTTATTAGATTCTTCCATTTAAACAAAATCTTGAAAGAATGACATTGGATTCTGTGGTACCATTTTTACTTCATTTTATACTCTGCTAAATTAGATTTGTATAAGCCAAACTGGAAATTTTACTGCCTTTTTAAATTTTACTGTCTTTATTGAAAAAAAATTCCAGCGTTTACTTAATAATCAATTTACCATTTCACTTTGAGAGCATATCTTATTAATAAATTAGAAAAACAACTTTTCTGTCAGTAGTCTATTCATTTGTAATAAAGAGAAATATAGATTGGCTTAGTGATTAAGTCCTGGCTAATTGATTAGGAAGGAACAAATGTGGTAGTTTTTAACGTATTGATCTCTAACCAAAAGGTTAACGGTTCAAATTCACCAGTGGTCCCATGGGGGAAAGAGGTGCAGTCTCCTTCCCTAAGGATTTATTTATTGGAAACCTGACAAAAGGCCTCTATGAGTGAGAACTCGCTCAGCAGAAATAGAGAGGTTTATTTTGTTTTTAATTGATTACCAGATAAAAAAGTCAGTCTTTATTTTGTCTTCATATTTTAACTGGTTTCTGAAGCCTGTTTTCAGATTAAAATTTAGTAATGCTTCTTGACAGTCATTTTTCTCTCCTATTTTGTCTTTATTTTTCTCCAAGCAGAATAGCATTCCAAACCAGTGATTGAGAACAATTTAAAAATGAGCAAAAACATTCAAACTGACATTTCTCAGATACTGACTGGGAGAATCTAATCAAGAATTCACTCCTTTATAAAATCTACATCAAGGAATTTGTGTATTACATATTTTATTAGTAGGAACAAAGATTGAAAGAAAATGCAATGTCATTAAAATCCCTGTGGGGCAAGGATAAATATTGTATAAGACCATTATTGTAGAATGAGTATAAGGATCCAGGAGGGGTGGGAGAAGTTGGAAGCAGAGGGATGTGGATGTGCAGGGGTGGGGGGATTAACCTTTGGGTTGTACAATTTGATGTGTAGGGTGAGGGGAAATTGAAAGAATTAGTTTTAATTTGTATTTGAAGTTTGTAAATAAACTAGTAGAAAATTTTAAAAAATAATTTTAAAAAAAGGAAAAAGACATTCAGGTGGGACAAAAAGAAAAAAAATCTCTGTGGGGAGAATTTTTTTAAAAAATTTCTTGTGAAAGTCTAAGTTTCTTAATACAAATCTGCTGTTATTATACACCTGTGTTTGATATGTTGTTGTTGTTGTTGTTGTGTGCTGTCCGGTCACTTGCGACTCACAGCGACCCTATATACAATAGCCCTAAACCCTGCTCTATCCTGTGCTGATCACACTGCCTCTGACACATCCATCCTGATTACCCCAGTCACTGAATCAATCCACCTCATAGAGGGTCTTCCCCTCCTGCGCCATCCCTCCACCCTCCCAAGCATGATGTCCCTCTCCAAGGACCTGTCCCTCCTTACAACATGTCCAAAGTATGTCAGATGAAGCCCCAGAATCGTTGCCTCCACGGAGCAGCCTGGTTTAACCCTTTCCAGGATGAATCGGTTTGTTTTCTTGGCAGTCCATGGTATATTCAATACTCTTCTCCAGCACCACAGCTCAAAGGCATCACTTCTTCTATCCTCCCTAGTCATTGTCCAACTCTCTGATGCATAACAAGTGATTGCAAAGACCATGGCCTGTATGATACGCACCTTAGTCTTCAGATTGACACCATTGCTCTTCAGTACCCTGGAGAGGTCCCTAACAGCAGACTTTCCCATCACAGTACGTTTTTTGATTTCCTGGCTGTGGTGCCAAGAGTGTTGACCGTGGAGCCAATCAAACTAAAGTTGTTAACAATCTCAGTCTCTTCACCATCCATCCTGATACTGCCAATTGGTCCAGTGGTGAGAATCTTTGTCTTCTTGACACTGAGCCTCAATCCATACGAAGACTGCAGTCTCTGACCCTCTGCAGCAAGCATTTCAGGTCCTGCTCAGTTTCAGCAAGCAGGGTGGTGTCATCTGCATAACGCAGATTGTTAATAGATCTTCCACCCATCCTGACACCACACTTCTCTTCATAGAGCCCAGCCTCTCGGATAATTTGTTCTGCATACAGGTTGAAAAGGTATGGAGATAGGACACATCCCTGGCGTACACCTTTCCCAATTTTGAACCATGCAGTGTTTCCCTGCTCTGTTCTGACGACTGCCTCTTGGTCCAAGTATAGGTTTCGCATTAGCACGATCAAGTGTTCTGGGATTCCCATTCTTCTCAGAGTCAGCCACAGTTTGTTATGATCCACACAGTCAAATGCCTTTGCATAATCAATGAAACACAGATAGACATTCCTCTGGTATTCCCTGCTTTCAACTAAGATCCATCTAACATCAGCTACAATATCCCTAGTACCACGACCCCTTCTAAACCCAGTCTGGACTTCTGGCAGTTCTCTGCTGATGTGCTGTTCGAGTCGGTTTTGGATAATCTTCAGTAGAATCTTGCTTGCATGTGAAATCAATGATACTGTTCTATAGTTTCCACACTCTGTTGTTTAGACATGCCAGCTTACTTTTAGCACTTACTTTTTGATGTGGTTTTGATAATATTTAGATTTGTTCACTATTTTCCATAGAACAAGACTTAAGCTTTTCCATTTCGTAATTCATATTTGCTTACAATTGTCCTTAGTTTTTCTGCCAGTTGTGCTCTTGGTTCACATGGTATTGCTGTACCCGAACTCTGACAAACACCATGGAAACGGTTCTCACAATCATTGCTCTTTTCTACTATCCTTTAGAAGGCTCAAAGTCTATGAACAGGTGAGATATTGTGATAATACTAATTATATATAAGACACTAAAGCACGCTTTACAAAATACTATATATCAGCATATTGTGTAACAGATTTCTTTCTTTTCATGGGAGTTGTAGTAACAACAAATATTCATGAGAGCTGTAGGAACAACATATTTTCAACTCATGTATTTGTTACATTAGGAATCACATATCACATTCAAACTGGGTAATTGAGACATCAATGAAAGGATTATTTTAAAAGTTGTAGGCATCTACAACCAAGAGAGGATAAAATAGATGAATGGGACCTTCTAATAAATCCCTATGCACACCCAAAAACTGCAACAGGGTAAAAAGGGAAGCCACAGATTGGGAAAAATATTTGGTAATGCCATATCAGATAAGGGACTTATATACAGAATTTATTAAATACTTGAGCACCACAACAAGATAAAGGTAAATAACCCAGTTGAAAAATGGGCACAGGATATGAACATATACTTCACCAAAGAAGACATTCAGATGGCCAAAAAATACATGAAGAAATGTTCAAAATCCCTAGCTGTAAGAGAGATTCAAATCAAAACAGCTATGAGATATCATCTCACCCCAGCCAGAATAGCAAAATTTAACAGAACAGCAAGCAACAAAGGCTGGCAAGGTTGTAGAGAAACTGGAATTCTTATTCACTGTTGGTGAGAATGTAAAATGATGCAACCACTGTGGAAGACAGTATGGCGCTTTCTCAAAAAGTTGCAGATAGAAATACCATTTTACCCAGCAATTCCTCTGCTGGGAATATACCTTAAAGAAACCATAACTGCCACCCTAGCTTACCCATGTTTATTGCAGCTTTGTTCACAATAGCAAAGAGTTGGAAACAACCCAAGTGCCTATCAACAAACAGATAGAGAGGCTCTGGTATGTTCACACAATGGAATACTATGCTGCATTGAAAAACAAGGAACTCATGAAATAGTATTCAAAATGGGTGACCATGGAGGACATTATGCTGAGTGAAATATCTCAGTCACAAAGGACAAATATTGCACAGGACCACTGTTGTAAAAACAGGATTGCCATCGGTGTTGAGGGAAGACTGAGGAATAGAAAATAAATAATGTATACTGCATTAAAATAGATGAGGGAGAGAACTGTTTAAAAGGATTATATGATTAGGTATTATTGTCATGACAGGAGTCCAGAATGAAGGCTGCACTGTTGAGTGGACTTGGGGAGAGGGATTGTGTTATCAGTGAAAGAATTTTTCTTTTACTTTTCAAAGAGAAGAGCGAAATTGGGGGGAGGGGTGGACAAGGAGAAAAGTACAACAATGAATGAATGGAAACCCTAAATCTCTGTAAACTTTCATTAAAATGAATTTAAAAAAATTCTAGTCAATATATAGGAATGTCAGTAGTCCATAATAACAAAATAGTATCCTACGGTAATATCATAGTATTCTCATCATAGCAGGGAGGTTTATTATGTCTTTACCCAGGAAAGGAAAAGAACGTTGCTGGATTCCACAGAGCAAGCTCCTTCTGTAAGAGAGCACCCCAACAGGATGCTGAAGCCACCAACCTTTAGCAGTGGTAGAGAGCCAGAGGAAACATGGCTATTTGCCCTCCAATTACCCAGAGCTAAAACGAAAGGCAGCCTGTTCATGTAATCCTTACAGATCAGTGTCCTGGAAATACAGCAGGTAAAAGGTGGAGACGAATAGGTCTGGGAGGGGAAACATAAAATATACAATACAGGATAGATTGTAGTTAGGTATGATTGAGTTGGAACTGACCCTTCAGCACATTAACAGAGACAGTAAATCACACAGGAGGACACTGTCCATTCTTCTGTGGAGCACCTGGTCTTTGGGATTTCCATGCAGTAGGCCACCAGAGGAGAAGAGAAGTAGGTTTGTATTAAATAGAGAAGCAAATACTAGGCAAAGGGAACAGCATGAACAATGGCACAGAGCTGCCAAGGCACTTTGGTATTTTCATGGCAAGTTGTCCACACAGTGTTAGAAAGTTAGAGGATGCACAGGAGAAAGAAAAATAAGAGATGAGCCGGAAAGGGAGCTCTGGTGGTGTAGTCTGTGAGAATTTTCACTGCTGACCCAAAGGCCAACCCTCTCTGGTAGTTCAAAGTCCCCTTGAGTGGCAATCTCTTCCCATATGATTTATAGCCTCAGAAACCCAATAGAGGGTCATCTGTGTGAGTCACTTCTGACTCAGTGGCAATGAGTTTAATGAGAATTTGGTAGGAGGAAATATCAGAGAGTTTTAAGTAGCATAACGTACTCAAATCTGATTAGAAAGAATTCCCTTGTAATAGAAGTATTTAGAATATACCAAAAGAGAAAGCCAGAATTTGAAAGTGTAACTAAGAAGCTAGTATCAATTTTCTTAGGTTACCTAAATAATAAGGATTTTTATAAGGCGATAAACTCTATGGGTGGTGCAAATTATTAAGATGCACAACTGGTAACCAAAAGGCTGTAGGTTCTAGTCCATCCAGAGCAACATTGGAATAAAGATCTTTCTGAAAAATTAGCTTTATTTTAATAAACTTTAAAAACCCTTTGGAGCACAGTTCTGTTCCAAAACACACGTCACCATGAGTTGGAAATGGCTTGATAGCAGGTGGTTTTGGTGCAAGCTGAGAAGTGACAATAAGGAAAATGGTCTATGACCAGACCTGAAATAAAATTCTCTCAGCCACTTACGTGAAATGCCAAGGCTGTGGATTTATACCATTATAATCCCAAGTGTCTACGAATTCCTGTTTTATTCTTCTATCACTGCCCAACAGTCTGTTTTCTTCACATTTGATTTGAGAGGATCTGATTAATCTCTTAAATGCCACTGTTCCTCTTTGATCATAGCTGTCATATCAGTCAGCCTCAGACTGGCTTCCTGGGCTCACGTGACCTCTCTGATTCAGTCAGGTGAGTAGGGTCATGAGGCACAAAACTAAATATTACCTTCTTGTCTCTTTAAGTCAAAAAAACCCTCAAACTCATTACTCCCTATTGAGTCAGAACTGACCTGACCCTCCAGTAGGCTTTCAGAAGCTATAAATCACATGGGAGAAGGTTGTCCCTGTTTCTCCTGAGAACCAGCCACTCATGGATTCAAACTGCCTGAGAAGTGTCACCTTTGGGTTTAGAAGCACAGCTCTCCACCCACTAGGCCACTAGAGGTCTCTGTAAGCACTACTGTATAAGCTTTCTTCCATATGTAAAGCATGGTAAATAGTATTTCTGCTGTAAAGAACCTTTTTGTAAATTTCTTTTAAAATGCAAATGTTTCAATGAAAATACCCTTTAAAATGGTTAATACTTAGTGTGATAATCTATGCATATAACCTACTCCAGAATGCTCCCTCACTGTCTCACTCATTACTGTTAGCTTGGAACTGACTTCCAGCTGACTCTTCATGAGTTCCCAAGGCTGCCAATCACATGGGAAGAGATTGCTCATCTTTCTCGCGTGCTGCCACTGGTGAATGAACAGCCAGGACATGGCCTTTGGAATAGAAGCATAACTCCCTGTGGATTATGCCACCAACACTCCCTTATTAAAAAATAAGTGCTTGTAAATGTTGGTGATGATGATGGTTATGATATTAAGTAAGAATATTTGACAACAGATGACAACAAAGATTCGAGACAAGTAACAGGACTTAATGTAAAATGATAAAACTCGACTGGAGGGTCAGCTATAAGTCTGTCCCGACCCAGCGGCAATGAGTTTGAGTTTTTCATTTTGGAGCTGAAAGCATTTGGGTTTGTAATCCCTGCTCGTAAATCTTCAGCAATAGTAACTTCCTTATTATTTATTTGTTAATAGTTATATGCTTTTATTACTTTTGTGTGCGTGTACCGTCAAATCAGATCTGACTGGTACAGGAGGAGATTGTCCCTCCTTCCCCAGCAGAGCATCTGGTGGATTTGAACCATGCACCTCTGGGATTGTAGTTGCAGTATTAGTTATATGCTTTTAAAGTTGTTTTATTTTGCTTTTTACTTTTAGGAGGGCTAATAATTACAGTCTTGTTATCAAATCATCTGTTTCAGCTATGTATTAGAGAAACTTACATTAATAAAAGTCCACATTTTTACCAATCATACAGCTTAATTTAGTAGGTTTTTTTACTGTTGTTGGCATTAGTTATATATTCTTTCAGCTGGATCAAACTAGAAATGTAATGCTAACATGAATTGTACCTAATTACAAGCATTGTATAAATAACCCTAAAGCTCCTTTTACTTGCAAATAATGGAAATATTGTAATAGATCTTAGATAGACTTTAGGTGTTAACCTTTTTAAAAAAATATTTTATATTGGTTTGCACACACATTGTACACATTGTGTTTCACACTTCCTTCATTCACATTGTGTTTTATACAATCATTCCAATATGTTGTGTTTCATAATTAATCCCTGTTGAACTAAGCCCACCATTACTCCATCTTTTCAGGTCCCCACCAGCTCTTTCACATTTCCTCTGCCCTCTTCCTCTACCCATCAAATTGTGCAACCCTGTGATTTACACATCCCTTGCCCACTCTCACCCCTTGGACCTTCATACATGTTTCACTTCACTTTATTTCACGTCTATGTTATCCTATTATGCAGTATTTGTCCATAGGAGACTGAGATAGTTCACTCAGCATAATGCTGTCTAGTCTCTCCCAAGTTATGTACTTTTCAAAATTGTTACTTCTGAGTGCTGTGTAGTATTCCATCATATGAATGTACCATAATTTCCCAATCCATTTGATTGTGGTTGGATATTTGGCTGTTTTCATGTTCTTATGATTGTGAATAACATTGCTATGAACATTGGTATACAAATATCCATTTGTGGCTCAGTTCTAATTTCCTTGGGGTGTATTTCTAGCAGTGGGACGCTGCATCATATGCAATATCTTTATTCAGCTTTTTGAGGAAACACGCAACTGCCTTCCAGAATGGTTGTACCACTTTACAATTCCACCATCAGTGTGTGAGAGTTCCAAACTCCCTGCATCCTCTCCAACACTGATTACCTACTGTCCTGTTAAACTTTACCATTGCTATGGTATTACCTTTTTTTATAGATGAAAAACTATTTAAGATCCAGAAAGTTTAAGTTACTTGGCTGAGTTTATATATATAGTTTTCTATACCAAAATTAATTTACTCTAATTTTTAAAAAATTATGTCACAGTATAAATAGTAGGTATGTTCTAAATTAACTTCCTAGTTATTTGACAACACATTTCTTTGCTTGTAGTGTCAAGTATTCATCCCTAGTGGCACTGGCCTTCATCATTCGTCCGACAGCTGTCATTCCATGGATACCTTTGTTCTTCAGACATTTTTGGCAAGAACATAGAAAGCTTAATCTTATTCTACACCATTTTTTACTTGTAGGGTGAGTATGACTATAATTCATGCGTTAACTTTAATAATTCATAATTTAAAGATCATTAATAAGATTTCATAATCTTTCAGTCAGTGATTGCATCTCCTAAAGTCATTAAGAAGTAGCGGTTGAAGGCAACACAAAATCTCCCAAATTCAATTTTTATCTGATGCGATTCTAATTAACTGTAATTTAATTTGCATAAGTAGGTATTTTGCCATTACTTGTAACATAGAACTTTAATATGCCATAGTTACTAATAATTTCTTAAACACGTTTTGTAGATACTTTATTCTTCTGCATGTGTATAGGCCCTTAGAGTGTACTAAGTATGTTTTCACATATTGCCTTATGATTTTCACAGTCCTTAGATCTAGGCAATACAGTTGTTCTTATTTTGTAGAAGAGAAAACTGGGGGTTTATAAAAAATAAAAATTAGTTAATCAAAATCATTGGGTTGGTTGCTCTGGTGAAACACAGATTGAAACCTAGATCTTTATACCATGAGCTCCTAGTAGCAGTCTTAGTTCTAAGTATCTAGTAAAATATCCACATTAATTATTTATTAAAGAAATTAATGGCTTTGGACTTTCAGAAGAGTAATCATTTGTTTAAGGAGTATGATCATTTTAATGACACTATTATTCACTCTGCACACATTTTTCTAGAAGCAATTTAAAAGTGCTAAATTATCTTTGAATAATTATAGTTCAGTTTCTGTTTTATCAGCTATACTAATACATTTGAATATATTCAGTTAGCAAATATATATTTAAACCTACTATGTGTCAGGCTTCTCCTTGGAGGCAAGGATTCTGAAGCTTCATCTGACATACATTGGGCATGTTGCAAGGAGGGACCAGTCCTTGGAGAGAGACGTCAGGCTTGGGAGAGTGTAGGGACAGCGCAGGAAAGGAAGACCTCGATGAGACAGATTGATTCGGTGACAGGGGTAATGGGGGTAGGTGTGTCAAAGACATTGAGATTGGCACAGGACAGAGCAGGGTTTAGGACTGTTGTACATAGGGTATCTATGAATCACAGGCGACTCAACACAACAACACAACAGCAATGTCCCATGTGTTGGAGATAGCAATTTAATGAAAAATATTTCCTTCTTTAATGAAGATTACATTCTAGTTGAGGAAGACAGATTACTAAAAAGATGAAAATATATATATATATTTGTCAAGTGTTAAGAAGTAATGCTATAGAGAAAAATAATGTGCTGGTGCAGGGGGTATGTGTTGTTTTTGATAGGGAAACTGGGGAAGAGCACTATGAGGTCCTCCTTTGGAACATAGACTTACTGAAGCACGAGCCTGTAGATCATGGGGAAAGCTTATGTTCCACAATGGGCAGCAAGTGCAAAGGCCTTGAGAAAAGTGTGTGTTTGACATGTTCACAGAATAGCAATGAAGTTGATATGGCTAAAGGAGAGTGATTTTGAGAGAATGTAGTCATGAAGTCAGAAGGATAATAGCAGTATAGACCAGGAATGAGGTTTTACACTAAGGGAGACAAAAAACCTTTTTAGTCTCATCAGAACTTTAATAAAGTTTTTCCTCCAAGAAGCATTTGTTGAATATATATTTTGCAACAAGCATTTGAGAAGTCAGAAATTAATAAGCTGTAGTGTCTGTTCTCTAATTCAAAGTCAGCTGAAAAAAAGAAACAATGACTGCATAGTGCCACCGTTATAGAATGGGACTGACATCAGGGTTAGGGTGAGACTGAGAAAAACTGGATAAGTCATGTATACCGCATTGAAACAGATGGGGGAGAGAACAGTTTAAGAGCAATATATGATTGGATATTATGGTTATGACAAGAGTCCAGAATGAAGGTTTCATAATGGAGTGTACTGGGGCAGAGAGGAGGCATTGTATACCAATGTAGGAATTTTTCTTTTACTTTTCAAAGAGAAGAGCGAGCTGGGGGGGAGAGGTGGGCAGGGAGAAAAATGCAACAATGAATGAATGGAAATCCAAAATCTTTGTAAATGTTCATTAAAATTAATATTATTTTTAAAAATAAACAATGATGAGTACCCAGTGATAGAATTATAATGGAGGTACATAACAAAATTCTTCAGACAATAAAGAAGAAAAGTTGATGCTACATCAAGGATGAGTATCATTTTGCTATCATAGGGAATCAGTATGCTTAATGCTGAAAGGGCCAGAGGAGGCTTATCTAGATCAAATAGTTGTCTTGTTTATGCTAAACAATGTATATCCTCAAAGGAAATATTTATATATAAGTACCTTATATAAAGGTATGTAGAAGTGTGTTTGTAGCAGCACTGTTCCTTAGAGGTTAAAATAGGAAACAAAATACCCATCAATAGGAAAACATATTTTTGTGGTAGGTTTATTCAGTTGAATACACAGTATTATAAATTACCACAACATGCAAAAATTATTAAACCTCACAATGATGGGAAATAGAATGTTAAAGTACCTTTGAAATCTGCTTGTGGCTGACTGCTTGAAGTTAGCAGTGAGGGTTGCCCACTCCTGTGACCAAAACCCACTAGAACATAAAGAGGACAGGCGATCTTCCTGCCATGTGTTATGTCTATAAAAATTATGAACCAGTAAAAAAGTACCTTATGATCCTATAGCTGTAAAAATGTAAAACTCACGACGTCAGAAGTCAAGGTAGTGTTTGAGGAAGCGGTAGGTATTGACCTGTTGTAAGGATGTGCTGTTAACGCTCTATCGGGTATGTACACAGTCGCACTATAGTGTTAATTTAGTGGTACTCATGTTGCTTTCTCCTCGCAGCATACTTCTCTGTATAAAAGTTTGTAACAGGTGGCTTGAGAGCTGATCTCCGATTCCAGCCTCTTGATGTCTTTGTATATGCCCCTCTACTTGAGTGTAAGTTGGACGTATTGGCTCAATTTTCATTAATAGAATATGGCAGGAATGTGATGTCATTTCTAAGATTAAATTCTAACAGTCTCAGCTTCCATTTTAGATGTTGTATCTCTTCACTGCTCACCCTACACAAGTCAGCCTCACTTCCCGAGGCAGTCTTATGTGGTGACCACATACTGAGGAACTAAGTCCTGTCATCAGCCCTGTGAGTGAGCTCAGTGAGCGTTCTCTCCGCCTCTCGAGTCAAGCCTTCAGGTGTAGCCCCAGTCCCTAGCTAACTGCGACTCAGGACATGGTCAGCAAACCACACCTGCATTCTTTTTTTTTTTTTTTAACATCAAAACTTCTATATTTTAATTATGTTTGTGGTGACATACAAAAACTTTAAAATAAAATGAATATATTTTATTACATTTTATTAAAACACCAATAGAATTTATTTAAAACAAAACAACCCAGATAAACCACAAAACAAACTATCCAAACAACTCCTCAGTCTTTTTCGCACCCAACCCATGGTTGTTGTTGTTGTTGCTATTGTTATGTGCCGTCAAGTCAGGAAGTACAGAAAATTGTGGGATACTACTTGTACTTTAAAGTTGCTAGGTTTTGGGGTAATTTGTTATGCAACAATAGATTTTAAAAAAAGATACACTAAATATTTTTTTACTAAAAAGTTTTATTGCCATTTGTAAAAAAAATGTTTCAAAATGTATAAAACTGTATTTGGTAAAATTATAAAGCATTTTTCAAATTGGCTTTTGATCGAAGGTCACTTGCAAAGCCCTATGTTATTGTTGTTATATGTGACTATGTACAACAGCTCTGCACCCTGCTCTATCCAGAGTCCACATTATTGTCTCTGACACACCAAACCCCATTACTCGAGTCACTGAATCAATCTATCTCATCGAGTGTCTTTTTAAGGACAGGTTCCTCCTTGCAACAGGGCCAAAGTGTGTCAGACAAAGCTTCAGAATCCTTGCTTTCAAGGAGCCAATATTGAATTTTCAGGATGTGAATTAACCATTATTTTTTTTTGTTTTTCAGATTTGTCACTTTAAGTTTGTCTCTGGTAATTGATCGTATCTTTTTTGGTCAAGTAAGTAAAAATAAATTAAGCTAACAGCTTTTTTATTATTATTTTTACTTAAAATCTGTCAGTCACTTAAAACATTTTTTTAATTCATTGTTGCGTATCTTCTTCCCTCCTCCTTTCCCTCCTCTCAAGGCATCCCTTGTTCCAGATTGTTGTCATCCATATAATGCCTAATCATATATTCCTTTCAGTCCTTCCCCGTCATCTGTTCTAGTACAGTATTTCATTATCTATCCACTTTTTTTCCCATTCTTTCCCCAACCCCCAACATATTCTTCACCCCAATCTGTCCTGTTTTATAACAGTAGTGTTATGCAGTATTTGTCCTTTTGTGACTGACATATTTCACTCAGCATAATGTCTAGGAAGCAGGAATGGAATCCACTTCCTAAACAACGTGCCTCCAGAAACTCTATGAACTTTGATAAATGGCAATAGTTGTAGAGGGGCTTCAGGCCTTTTGTTCACTGGGTCGCTATGAGTCATGCTCAACTCAAGGGCAATCAACAACAACAACAACAGTGTCCTTCAGGCTTCCCTGTGTTTTGTAATGTTTTACAAGTTAACTGTTTTTCAGCTTGTTTAATCTAAACATTTATTGCACTAAAACCTCCACCTGGATTTTTTAATCCATTGAAACTTGGAAACAGAAACAAGTAATTTTTCACAATAGAAAAAGGATACAAGAGGAATGTGGAATCAGGATTGGTGGAAGAATCATCAACCTGCGTTATGCAGATGACACAACCCTGCTTGCTGGAACTGAGGAGGACCTGAGGTGCTTGCTGCAGAAGATCAAGGACTACAACCTCCTATATGGACTGAAGCTAAATGTCAAGAAAACAAAGATTCTAACCACTGGGCCAATTGGCAGCATGGATTGGTAAGGAGATTGAGATAGTTAACAGTTTTAATTTACTTGGCTCCACAGTCAACGCTCTTGCTAACAGCAGCCAGGAAATCAGGAGATGAATTGCATTGGGAAAGTCGGCTGTGAGGGACCTCTCAAGAGTACTGAAGAGCAACGATGTCAGGCTGGAGACTAAGGTGCGCCTGATCCGGGCTGTAGTCTTTGCAATTATGTGCTGTGCATCAGAGAGTTGGACAGTGAATAGGGCTGATAGAAAGAGGATTGATGCCTTTGAGCTGTGGTCCTGGAGAAGAGTGTTGAATATACCATGGATTGCTAGAACAAACAGGTTTGTCCTGGAGAGGGTAAAGCCAGAGTGTTCCCTGGAGTCAAGGATTCTGAAGCTTCGTCTGACATACTTTGGACATGTTGCAAGGAGGGACTGGTCCTTGGAAAGGGACATCATGTTTGGCAGAGTGGAGGGGAAGCGAAGGAGAGGAAGACCTTTGGTGAGATGGATCGATTCTGTGACTGGAGCAGTGGGAATAAGTGTGTTTGAGATGGCTAGGTTGGCACAGGATTGAACAGCATTTAGAGCTCTTGTACATAGGGTTGCTATGAGTCGCAAGCGACTCGATGGCACATAACAACATAGTACCTTTGGTTCAGTTTGCTGTATTTGCAGATTTCCTATTGATGTTCAAGAATGTTGTAAGGGAGGCAAGCTACATTTTTATCAGGTTTGTAATAAAGGTTAAAATTCTAAATATATTTGGAACCATTAGTCATGCAGAAATCCATTTAACCAGAATACTTCTTCAGTCATTGGGTATAAATATAAATTTCAAGAATTTAGGTAATGGCCTTTGATTGTTCTAAAATTCCCCCTTCCCCACATGTAAAAGTCACAGCCTCTGGAAATAAGACTGCCAGTTTTGAATCCTAGTGCTATCATTATTAGCCAAGTTACCTACATTTCTTGCCATGGTGTCCTTATCAGAAAATATTTATGGTGGCTGTCTCATAAGGTTGGTGGATGATAACAGGAGACAGTGCATGTAAAGTTTACAACAATGCCTGTCAAAGTGGGCACTTCATATTTAGTTCTTACCATTGGCTGCCACTCTCATTTTACCTGCTTTGTGCTACAATTCAAACTAATATTTTCAAAGCTTCATCTTAATAGGGAATAGACAAAAGGGCAAAATGTTTTATATAGGTGACACAAGCTTTTTTTTTTTTTTTCAGGATCCTCTAATTCATTAAAAAATTTACATTGCCAGATTATTCTTTTTTCTTAGAACCTGTTTTACAAATTAGCAAAGCATATATCAATACTTAAAATGGAAAAAATGTAAGTTATGTATGTAAAATGAATGGTTTTTAGCTTTCTTTCTGGAGTTACTGTTAAGATTGTCAGAATCTTTATGCCAAAGATGCATAATTGGCACTAACACATTTCTGTTTCTTTTTCCTTCAATTTGCCAGTGGACTTTGGTTCAGTTTAATTTTTTGAAATTTAATGTGCTACAAAATTTGGGGACATTTTATGGTTCTCATCCATGGCACTGGTACTTCACTCAAGGATTTCCAGTTGTCTTGGGTACTCACTTACCCTTCTTTATTCATGGCTGCTTTCTAGCCCCAAAGAGGTACAGGATACTTTGGGTGACTGTGCTGTGGACAGTGCTTGTTTATAGGTAAGATTTTATATGTTCCAATAGTTTAATTTTTAAATGTTACCAAGAAAATAGACTACATTGTTAAAAAAAACCAACTGTTTTTCCTTAACACATTAACCTTACAGATTGGTCAGTGGATATTATTAATAGATAAAAGTATTCATTAAGCTGTTCAGATAGCTGGTGTTCTGTTAGATAGTGCTTATCAAGGATTGCTCTGGTGGTGTGGTCTGTAGGGAGCTGGACTGCTGACTCAATGGCAGTTGGTATCCACCAGGAGCTCGCTGAAGAAAAGATGGGTCCTCTCTTCAGAAGATTCACAACCTCTGAAAACCTGCTTGAGAGTCAGCTGAGTGCCGGCTCCAACTCCAAAGCAATTAATGAGAAACTCAGTTTGTTACCAACAGATTTCTTTTTTTGCATTTAATAAATACAGACTACTGAAGGACCAAACCTATTGCCTTCAACTTGATTTAAACTCGTGGTGACTTTATAAGACAGTGTTTTAACAGCCTGATAAGGCTCTTACAGTTATAAGTCCTTATGGAAGCAGACTGTCATTTCTTCCTCTTGTAGAGCAAGTGATGGGGTCAAGCCTCTGACCTTTCACATAGCAGTTGAGTGCTTAATTACTGTGCCACTAGAGCTCTTATGGTGAAGGACCTGAGAACTGCTATTTCAAAAGAAAAATATATCCATTTTTATGATGACTTTGGGTAATAGTATTTGGATTCACACCAAATGTTAATAGTTTCTATGTATCACAAATTTAAAACAATAAATAATGAGACCAATTCCTGATCAAGAAATACATTCCAGGTACTTACAAAATTAACACAGCATGTTAATTATATTTCATGAATTAATTTTTAAATGACAAATTAATTTTTTAAACTACCTGTAATGAATACTATTAAGAATATATACTTCTTGTTGTATAATATATATAATAAAAGTTTTGGTGGCACAGCCCTTAGGGATTTCTACTGCTAACCTAACCTAACCTAAAGGTGCTGGTTCCAGTCTACCAGTAGCTCATAGAAGAAAGATGGGCAGTCTCCTCTTGTGTCATTTATAGTCTCTGAAAACCCACTGCATGTTCAGCTGAGTCAGCTCCAACGTGAAAATAATGAGTTTGAGAATATATTTATTGATTGTGATTTAGGTGGAAGTTTACAGAGCAAGTTAGTTTTCCACTAAACTGCTTACACATTTTGTTGATGCTCGTTACAGCTTCCTCAGTGTAACTGTATTCTTCCTAATCCTGTGTTTCCCATTTCCATCCACCAGTCCTCTACTCCCTTACTGCTTTCTGAGCTGTTTTAGGGCCAGTGCTACTGTTTTGGTCTCATATTGGCTAATGATTCTGAGGAGTGTATTTCTCCTGCTACTGTTGTTCACTTTTGAGACCTTCTATTTAAGAGAAGCTCAAAATTGATCCCTGAGATTTAGGTTCAGTTTCAAATCTGAAGTGTGTCTAAGGACCATATGAGAGGTTATTAGTCCAGTATGATTTGAATTTTGCTCAAAAATTTTTTTTCTCCCTGTCTAGGACCTTTTGTTATGCCCCTAATCAAAGTAGTCAGTAGTGGCTGCCAGCCACCTTCTAGTTCTTCTGGTCTCACAGCATTGGAGTCTGTTAGTTCTTTGGACTAATTTCTTCTTGAATCTTGGATCTTCTTTATACATTTTTGCTCCAGACAGTAAGAGACTCAATACTTGTATCCTAGATAGCCACTCACAGGCTTTTAAGACCCCAGTCACTACTCACCAGAGTAGGACATGGAACATTACTTTGTGGACTGCATTATGCCAGTTGATCTAGATGTCCACTGAGGCTATGATCCTGATTCCGCAAGCCCAGAGACTCATTCTCTCAAGGTGTTTGCTATGGCTAAGAAATTTTCAGAATTTTGCACTTTATATGTTCTACTGTATCCTTGGATATATTTGCAGAACGTAGAAATAGCTTCTAGCCCAGTATATATGCTGCTCTGGTGGTGCAGTGTGTAGGGAGTTGTGCTGTTAACCCAAAGGCAGTGCCTCTCTGGCAGTTTAAATCCACTAACAGCTCCATGGGAGCAAGATGGGCAACATCCTCCCATGGGATGTACAGTCTCCAACAATCTCCTGCAAAGTCAGTTATGAGTTAGTCTGACTCAACAGCTGTTGAGTTTGGTTTTCTGAAACCTGTATATACTGTCAGTATATTTTATTTACCATCCCATATCTGTTCATTTTATATGTCTATTTATGTATCTGTTCATAGGTATTTTTGTCTATCACATGATTATATAATAATACTATTTTAATATCTTTTTGTTATAGCATGTTGAGCCACAAAGAATTCAGGTTTATATATCCAGTTTTACCACTTTGTATGGTGTTCTGTGGTAAGTATTTTTAAAATAAATCTTTAAAAGCATATACAGAAATAGGTACAAATTCCTACCAATTATAAAATATTGAATCTTTTTAAGAGGTTAAATGAGAATTACTTATTCCTTAATTTCAAATTACACTCCTCAAATATCCTCCCTTTTTTCAGTCTGAATATCTTTTTTCCTTGTGTCTTCTAAAGTGAGATAAAGATAAAAAGCAATCAAATTCCAAAACGCCTTTGGTAGTATTGTTTCTGGCTTTTAGAAACTTTTCATTAAATGTCTATTTTAGAATTGCTATTTTAAAATTTATAATTGAACTGTGAGTTTCCTATTGACAAAGGAAAATTAGTTGTTGAAACTAAGTTTTAATGCTTTTGTACACATAAACATTTACCTGAGACTCATTCTAAAGGTACCAAATTGTTAAAGTGATTCATTCCTTTCTTTGTTGTTTTGTTTTTGAGGAGAGGTGGGGCCTTTTCTTCTAGGCCTTTACAGTCCTTTTTTAATATTTTTAAACATGGGATTTATAAATTCCTTCCTTTTCCATAGCTCTAGAAAACATGAACATTTAAATGTTAATTTCCACCCACTGGTTTGGAAAATTACTAACTGAAACTTTATTAACTTCAAGAATAATTCCAAAGAAATGATTACTGGCTTCTTGCAAATACTGTGAGCTAAAAAGGGAGCAAAAAGGAAAAAAAAATCACTAAACTGAAGGAGGAAGAAATTGTTAACCAACCGACTAGAGGCAGAGGAAAAATCTAGTGAATTAGAAGTGTCAGAAACTTGTGGTTTTTTAAAAAAAGAATCCAATTGTTAGCCGTCAAACAATCCATTGTTAGCCTTCTTCTGCCAAGTATGCCTTGACTTCTGCCACTGTCAAGATGTCTGTGTGAGTGTATACTTTTCAGTTTATGTACATACTAAATATTTGATATACATAATGTAGTTAAACCAAAGTCTCAATCTCTAGTACTACCTGTGGTTTTATATACACATAGATGCGCAAATAAAAATACAAATATATGTTTGGCAAGTTTTATGAAGAGTAGACCCACTTGAAAGTAAAAATCTATTTTTACATCATTATTCAAGATTTAAAGTGCTTTTTATGGTTTTGTATTTTTTCATTTTCTAGTTGTTTCAGTAGGAAGAAGGATTGGCCACCCACTTCTGAAATAGCAGGCCTCTGAAAACCCTATGCACAACAGAACACACGCAGATTAACAAAAAGGGCAACCTAGGTAGAACCATCAAGTATGGAAACACAAGGGAGGAGGAACAGCTGTAAGCAGACCCTAGTGATTGGTACATGGAATGTGAGAACCATGAATGAAG